TAATTAATATTTAACAAGGTAAAGAAGGTTGAACCTTACGGTATTATCTTAAATTAACTGTCAACATATAATAAATGTAGGTACGTATTTATGACGTTTATTTATAAAAGTAAAAGGCGACGAAACTATATTATTGCCCAAAAAGTAACAAATATATTTAATGCAAGCTAAAGGAGGAATACCTCCTGAATCTAAATTTATAAACTTTGCTCTTTTCGTTTCGGCAAGTAGATATCCATATATTTAAATGGACCTTGTTAGAGCATACGTAATCTTAAAATGTAGCATCGTACTACAGATGCCGTTTACCGCGTAATTTGTGGTATTTTCTTTGCTCTTTTATTTAAAAGAAAAAAGAAGAATGATTGTAGGATTTTTTAATATATTAAAGTGAATTCACTTTTGTTTTGAATTAATTTTTACGACAAATTAATGAAGAAATATCGTTGCAGGAGGTAATAGGTACCTATATATCGTCTTTTTTGCTGCTGTCATCTCTCGTAGCTTACTGGTAGAGAAATGGTGAGTAAGTCAGAAACCCGGGTTCGATTCCCGGTGAGGACGTGACTGCGGAAACAATTTTTCCTCATTAATTTGAGGTTAACAATACCAGTAAAAATTAATTCATTTTAGCCTTTACCTCTTTATAATATTAGTATAGAAAAAAATTCAATTGAAGGTTTTCTGGCGAGATTATCTTTAATTTGACCCTTATAAATAATTTACCAAAAGTCCATAAAGCCAACTGCACGACTAAATATATTACAAGTGGTCAAAGTCACAAAAATTAAATTTTCTCAAAAATCTGGTTTATATTAATTTTGTTTATAATATGATAAAATTTGTTTGTCATATAAATCGCCATGAAAAAGTTCCACGTAGAATACATGGGCCAGACGATTTGGGAATTGCGCTGCATTTATTTTAACACCACCTTTGAGGTACAATGCAAGGCACGTTTTTTACATGGCCTATAAGCGTAACCTATGGGTAAATTATACTACAATTTTACTAAACAGTGTTCGTAAACACAATAATTAAAAGATATTTGAGAAGATTTGTCTTTCGTGGTCATTGACCATCTGACCTTTTCTAGTTGGCTTTATAATAAAAATAAAGACAGTCCTGCGGGAAAATCTTTAATTATTGGATTTTTACACGTCTATGTATAAGGCAACGGAATTTTCGCTCAAAAACATTTAGGTGAAAATTTTAGTAGGTGTCTGCTTTTTGTTTTGTAAAAAAATAAGAAAATTACTTTTGTCAGTTTAAAACAAACTATGTTCATTATCTTATTATTTTCGAACTTCATCATCATCATCATAAGGTCATCAGTCCTAAAACTGGTTGGACACGCACTTTCACTCTTTCCTATCCTGAGCTAATCTTCGTGTTTCCCTAAAACTAGAACATCCCACATCCTTAATTATTTGCGAACAATAATCTAATCTAGTTGTGCCAATACTCCTCTTAACTCCTGTTTCTGCCTTTAATATGTCTCTGACTATCCCTTCATGCCTGAGAAGGTGTCCCACCAACTTATCTCGCCTGTTTCTTCTTCCATAGGGTCCTCTGTTCTCCTATTCTTTCTAATATCTCTTCATTTCTAACCTTCTCTATCCACGGTATCCTCATCATTCGCTTGCAAGACCACATTTCGAAAGTTTCTAATATTTCCTTTTCCACCGCGCCCACCACCCATATTTCGTAGCCGTATAATGCCACGCTCGAAGCATACACTTTCAACAATGTTTTTCGAATTTCTAAATTAACCGTTCGCCAGCATAGAAGTTACTTCTCTTTATAGAAGATGACCTGACCCTGCGCTATCATCTGCTTCATATTGATACTATTGCTTCCTACCTGACTTATCTGACTTCCTAAATACCGAAAATCAGCCACTTTTTGTTACCTATCTTTATATTCGCTTTTTTTTCGGTTTTACTTTTATTTATTTTCATACAATAGGTACTGTTTTGTGAATACCGCCTCCATTTTATTTGAGGCTATCTTTAACTCCTCCTTACTAGATGCTAATACTACATAAGCATGTTAATCTTTTGCCTCTGTATAAGTATCCCTACAGTTGTACCGTTTTTAATGATGTTGATTGTATCTTCGATATGTAGACTAAGTGCTGACAGTGTGCATCCTTGTTTGACTCCCTTTCCAATATTTACTTCTCTACGTTGCTGCTCCAGATCTATAACTGCCTGAACCTACTCAAACTAAATAAGACAAAGATCTCCTTTTTTCGGTCATATCTTTATGTAAAAGAAGCATCCGTTCTAGTACCGTCATCTACAGAATTATTTAAATTGCAAATTCTCTCGATTGCCTCGTCTTGCTGATACTCAATTTGTAAAATTTATCTATCAGGGATCAGCGACTATAGTGTCAGCAAAGTCGACAAGACTAACCAACTATGTTGTGTTCGTTAGTTACAGTCAAATACAAACCTTTTACTGTAAACAAACTGCAGTTGCATTTTACATGCATCGGGAAGCACAAAAGCCTTCTGACTCTGTAGATGCATATGTCTGTGTGTCGAGCAGCCTAAATTTTTAATCAAAATAAAAATCAGCGCTTCAGCCGGTGCTCTACCTCTGACGATTGAAATGTTTGCGGAAAAAGTTACGCACGTGTTTACTATATGAACCAGTGAATTTTGTATGTTCTATGTACCTACGTTTAAAATTAATTCCGCACCGTTGTTTAACTAGGTGAGCCTTGCTTATAAGAGATCAGCTTTTGTTTATTTAAAAGTATTTTGAAATTGGTGTCTCTTAGTATTCTTAATAAGACAACCATCAACAAATCCCACCAAATGAGATTTCAATTCTCATCATCAGTCTTTTTATACGTACCTTAAACTGGGCCAGAAAAAACGACTATTTTTTTTTAATAGTATACTGAAAATATTATTTAGGATGGAAAAACAAAGTTAACATAAAATTTGAGCGCTTAATTTTAATATTAAAAGGTCTATCATCACAAATTTATGTTCTCATTACTCCAAACGCATCTCCCATTCAAATCTTTTAAAAAATATATCTGAAAAATACATTTTTTTCAAGGAAAATAAATTCTTTACAAAAAAGGCCTGATTGCAAATTTTCGTTCGACAAACCGTTTCCACGTAACCTTGCGTTGAACATTGAACTGTTCTTACGATTTAATTCTTCAACTTTTGAATTTTAGAACTCATAAACCAATTTGTTTTTGAAAATGAATGATTTATGATTTTAAAGGAAATTAGACGAAGAAATTCGACACCAATCGTCTTTTACAGCTACAAGTAAAAAACCTGTAGGTATATTTTTGTGAAATTTTCTAAAAATTTAACTTTTTTTTTAATTAAAATAAACACAATTGGGAATTTAAATGGGTATACTTTTTAGTTAATACCACATGACGTTAATGCTTTGGTTTCTTTTTTGATGTAAAGCTGTACTATTAGTTTTGTATATAGTTCTCGCTCTGTTTGTCCAGTCAATTTAAATTTCACATGCACAGTACTCTTTAAAGTCAGATAAGTCAGGACGGAAGGAGTAGTATGGATATAAAGCACAGGATAGCGCAGGGTCCTGTCGCCTTTAATAAGAATAAGTCACTTCTATACTGGCGAACGGTTAATTTAGAAATTCTAAAAAGGTTGTTAAAGGTGTATGTTTGGAGCACGGCGCTATACGGGTGCGAAACATGGACGGTGGGAGCGGCGAAAAAGAAAAGGTTAGAAGCGTTCGAAATGTGGTGTTATAGGCAAATGATGAGGATAACGTGGGTAGAAAAGGTTAGAAATGATGAGGTATCTACTAGAAAAAATAAGAGAACAGAGGACTCTATTGAAGTCAATAAAAAATAGGCGAGATAGGTTGGTAGGACACCTTCTTAGGCATGAAGGTCTAGTCAGAGACATATTAGAGGCAGAAACAGGAGTTAGGAGGGGTAGAGGTAGACCTAGGTTAGATTACTGTTCGCATATAGTTAAGGATATGGGTTGTTCTAGTTTTAGGGAAATGCGAAGATTAGCATATGATAGAAAAGAGTGGTAGTACGTGTCCAACCAGTCGTAGGACTGACGACCTTATGATGATAATGATGAGTACTTTTTAAATATTTTAAATGGTTTTGATTATGTATTAACTGTTTTGAAAACCTATTACGGGCATGCCTAAAAAAAACTCTAAAATTATTATTGAGTTTCGGATAACAGGAAAGATAACACAAAATTTAGGTAGGTACTACACCAAAAATGTAATTACGTACAGATTACCACAATGTGGAAAGAACCGAGACAAAGTTTTTACTTTTTAAGCAACTGCAAAAATTATAAGCCATTTTTATTTAAATTTAATCCATCTTCACGTACTAATACGTATTGCATATTAGTTCACAATGTGCATATATTTGTCAATTTTTGTTTAATACGAAAAGCTTCAAATATCTCCTCATTCAACATCAGTAGAACTAAGAGGAATTTGTAATATTCGTGTTTTATAGCACGAAAATAAAGGAAAATTCAGTGATTATTAGGTTTACACGTACGTCGAATTTCTTTTAATGAAAATAAAACAAAAACTTATATATTTGTCTTTGTTAATAATTTCTTTGTTTAAATTTCATTAAATCACTTCATGTTCGAAACATAAGACTAAAATAACAATTTTTAATAATCTTTAATTATTATAGTTTGTAGCCGATTCAAACATTAATTAAGTATTATTAAACATAAAAGAACTTACAAAGTCTGCACATATCAATAGGTATCAAGCTTGCATTAAATTATTCTATCATTAAAAAAAATTTATTTAAAATTATCAAATTTCATATAACCAAAGTATAAAAAAAATCTAAACATGCAAGTGTAGGCAAATATAAAGTATTTAAATCCCATTTCTTTAAATTATTTTATTTTCACGAAAGTGATTTAGGAAAATCAAAAAAATTGAGAGAATTTAATACTTTTAATTATATCATTCAGTAGATCTAGTCCTTACCCATTTTCCTAAATCATTTCCATCATCGACTCATCGTACTTAGAAACTCACGTGTTCGCACGGTCGCGCGTCACAAAACGCTAAATTTCGCCGCTACTTCTTACGAGATGCGTGGAAAATCCACGACTGTCCATCCGCCGATTTAGACTGATTTGTCGGTAAAATGCGCACACCGGCGCGCAAATTTCTTCCTCTGTGACTCCTGCGAGACTCGAGATAACTTCTTTGACAATATGTTAATCGGGTAAGAAAGGACCTGACTGGACTTCAGAAAGCATTATTTTGAATGCTAACGCTGTCTTTTTAGCAGTCGGCCTCTCGTAATAATGTTAATTTATTTAATGTTAGATGCAGCATCTGAAGTTGTTGCATACTGACACCCATTTCGTCTTCTTCAACCAAGACGATGCTAGTAAGTTCTTTTGAAGTATCTTTTTTTCACAAATATATTATATTATTAAAATTACCCTGTTAGATTCGCCCCGAACATTAAACTCGAATTTTATTGAAAGAGATTGAAACATGTTTTTCTACTAGGTACATTTTCAGTTATGCTGCTACTATCTCTAGTTGTCTCTTAGTTCCAACGCACTTTAGTCGTTCAGCTTAGGTTGGCATCATTGCCATATTTGAAGCACAAAGAGGGTGGCGTAAACTGCAACTTTACTGTTTACTTGTATGATTACTTTTAAATTGCAAACAAATGCTTATTTTTAACTGTATATCGTAGTAGTCTCAAAGGAAAATGTTTGTTACAAACAGATACTTGAGTTACAGAACTCTAAAAAACAAGTATCAGTCGAACCATTAAGTCTTATCAAAGACAATAAGCTGTTTCTTCTAGTCATAAGATACTCTGTGTATTACATAAATCATTGTCATTTTACTGCAACTCGATTTTACGATCACCCGATTGCAATATTTTGTTATTAAACTTTTCTCGTATCTGAACAAGATAACCTAAATTTCCAGTCCATGGAACAAGGTTCTACAAATTACCAAACTTTTATAGTTTAAAATTTTGTNAATGCATATGAATTATTATGTGAATCAGAAGATGTTCCGGTATTAAAAGAATCCAACAGTCGTCTGCTCTTCCACGAAAATAAAAAAAGGTAATACACATAACTCTATGCCACTCAACATCGCTCCCTCTACTGTAGCGATGTGACGTTCAGTTTGACCGGCGCAAAGTAGAAAAGAACAGCACTAGGCCAGAAAAAAAAGGAGACAACTCTCAGTCAAACTCTCAACCGGCGAGGAGCGTATAATCCGCACAGTACTGCACGGAAAAGTTTACCATTTTATCCACTATAATTGCATTGCTCAAATGTGCTGTTATTGGTACCAATTACTACTGAAAATATCTACGAGATGCTTATTTATATTTGAAGACATATTAAGGCTTTAACGCTTGTTTTCGACTCGCACTACTATTCATGATTGAACAAAACTTTTGGCAGGTACTGTATGAAAAAGTATGTTTAATGTACAAGAGTGAAGAGTATAATGAGCTTTTTTCTCCCTACCTTAAATTTTGCCAGCGCGCATCCAAGACATTGGAAGGGGCACACTGCTACAGAAAGTAAATGAAGTATACTAATCTCTGATTTATGATGGGATGTAACCAATATTGTTTTTTTCTGCTTCCTTTTAGTATTATTAGCATTTATTTTTAATAACAATGTCATAATATACATTTTTTCTGTGACGCTCATATTGCAAATGACTAAAAGTTACGATTACTTACTACTTACTTATTGAAATCAACTAAATGTAGCATTTTACAGATGGCATTTACCGCGCCGTTCGTAGAATTTGACTCATTAATTTAAGTCTTAGGACTGACGACCTTATGATAATGATTAATTTGAGGTACCGTATAGTGAAAAAAAATTGAAAATAAATATTCAAATTAGTATGTAATACGAATTTAAATTTTAAGTATATTTGGTGACGGGGCCGGGGAAAACAAAAATTTAACAGAGCCATACTTATTTTAAATTATAGATCCTAAAAACGGTTTCTTGAGTATGTTGTGTTTTGTAGACTATATTAAATTAATAAAGTATTACTTAAATTCGTAAAAAAAAATAAAAAACATTTTATTCAGTGTTCTTAATTAGTATCTACAGGACAACTTGCTATAGGAAAACTTGGAGTTATATTTTAATATTTTTAAACGAAAAATTTTCGAAATAGACAAAACCTTTTTTTGTTGGAATCACAACCCATTCCCAGTATAAATACAAAACAATGTGGTTACTCGTGCAGATAGGAGTAAAAAAATTGAAGCAGCATAAAATATTTTTGATTGACTAAATGGAACTCTGCGGAAGCAATAATCTTTCGTGTGATTGTTTCAGAGTTCAGCGATTTTTTATTATCTGTCGATACAATAGTTAAACCCCTGATTTTTTTATTGCTAGCAATTTATAGTCGATTTGGTCGTTCGCAAAGCTGTAGCTGCACAATTTCTGAACTGACAGATCAACTAACAATCTGACTTCATCTATATCATGCAAAATCAAAAATTATTATAATAATAATACCTACTTATTTAGTAATAACTGAATAAAAATAAAAGTGGTAATGAAAAATAGAAAACTAAAGTAACCAATATGTACCTACCATGGCACCACTATATACCACAACACCTAATCTTACGAGTTACAAAATTTTGCTCAAGTGTTATTGATGGGTTGGGAATAGGAAGGAGGGAAGAAAATTAAAAGTGGTGATTAACTGAAATCTATTTATTCATAAATTAAATTACAAAATATTGAAATTACTTAATTGATTTTTAAAATTTTGAGTAAAGATCTTTTAAAACTATCAGTCGAACCATTAAGTCTTATCAAAGACAATAAGCTGTTTCTTCTAGTCATAAGATACTCTGTGTATTACATAAATCATTGTCATTTTACTGCAACTCGATTTTACGATCACCCGATTGCAATATTTTGTTATTAAACTTTTCTCGTATCTGAACAAGATAACCTAAATTTCCAGTCCATGGAACAAGGTTCTACAAATTACCAAACTTTTATAGTTTAAAATTTTGTTTTTATTATTTTTACAAAAGTGGACAATAAGTTACGCTTTTGTTTTATTGTAGTAAAAGCCAAAACATATTTAAAAAGTTGTAATAACAATTTTTCTCCAAAATCTACAGCACTAGCTCTTCCTTTATTTTTTCTACACTAACATATGTAATACGAATCACATTCCTAGTGCTTAATTTTAAATATTAATTTGAAAATTCAGAGTTCGTTTCTCGGCGAGGGTGTGACACCTGCAAGAAAAATTTTTCTCATTAATTTGAACAAAAAAAATCAAAGTGGTCAGTATTCTATGACTGACGCGGGTCGCGATTTCGATCTTGTTGGAATTACTTGGAATTTCTTTGTTCGATTGTGCCTATCACGTAGGGTGTTACGCCGCGGATTCGGTTCAGCAAGTAGATAGATATCCATCTATCTAAGACATAGCGAGCTCTGTGATTTTTTAGTTGCGTGATTATTTAGTCGCAAAAATGTAACACAAGTTAGTAAATGCAAGTGCGCGCATATGCGACTAAATTAAAAAATCGCAACTGGTCGTATTTTTCTTGCGGCGCGATTGTTGGGGATGTAGAATGAATCGTACGGACAGCTATGAACCTTCGCGCACTTGCGACTAAACTGTCGCAATTCACTAGTTATCATCTGTTGTTTTGTGTACAATAAATCAATACATTGTGGTTATCAAACAAGTCATATTATGAGCCCTTTGTTGCAAAGGAAAAGTAAACGTCACATAGTGTTTTGGATACGGAAAAAAACCATATCCGAAATTGAAAAAAAGAAAATTGCCGTTTTACTAATCTCTGATTTATGATGGGATGGAACCAATATTGTTTCTTCTGCTTCCTTTTAGTATTATTAGCATTTATTTTTAATAACAATGTCATAATATACATTTTTTCTGTGACGCTCATATTGCAAATGACTAAAAGTTACGATTACTTACTACTTACTTATTGAAATCAACTAAATGTAGCATTTTACAGATGGCATTTACCGCGCCGTTCGTAGAATTTGACTCATTAATTTAAGTCTTAGGACTGACGACCTTATGATAATGATTAATTTGAGGTACCGTATAGTGAAAAAAAATTGAAAATAAATATTCAAATTAGTATGTAATACGAATTTAAATTTTAAGTATATTTGGTGACGGGGCCGGGGAAAACAAAAATTTAACAGAGCCATACTTATTTTAAATTATAGATCCTAAAAACGGTTTCTTGAGTATGTTGTGTTTTGTAGACTATATTAAATTAATAAAGTATTACTTAAATTCGTAAAAAAAAATAAAAAACATTTTATTCAGTGTTCTTAATTAGTATCTACAGGACAACTTGCTATAGGAAAACTTGGAGTTATATTTTAATATTTTTAAACGAAAAATTTTCGAAATAGACAAAACCTTTTTTTGTTGGAATCACAACCCATTCCCAGTATAAATACAAAACAATGTGGTTACTCGTGCAGATAGGAGTAAAAAAATTGAAGCAGCATAAAATATTTTTGATTGACTAAATGGAACTCTGCGGAAGCAATAATCTTTCGTGTGATTGTTTCAGAGTTCAGCGATTTTTTATTATCTGTCGATACAATAGTTAAACCCCTGATTTTTTTATTGCTAGCAATTTATAGTCCATTTGGTCGTTCGCAAAGCTGTAGCTGCACAATTTCTGAACTGACAGATCAACTAACAATCTGACTTCATCTATATCATGCAAAATCAAAAATTATTATAATAATAATACCTACTTATTTAGTAATAACTGAATAAAAATAAAAGTGGTAATGAAAAATAGAAAACTAAAGTAACCAATATGTACCTACCATGGCACCACTATATACCACAACACCTAATCTTACGAGTTACAAAATTTTGCTCAAGTGTTATTGATGGGTTGGGAATAGGAAGGAGGGAAGAAAATTAAAAGTGGTGATTAACTGAAATCTATTTATTCATAAATTAAATTACAAAATATTGAAATTACTTAATTGATTTTTAAAATTTTGAGTAAAGATCTTTTAAAACTATCAGTCGAACCATTAA